CGGCTCAGTTCATTTGCAGCCTTATCTCTCGTGAAAGGAATTATAATTATTATTTTTTTAGCAGAAAAAAAAAATCAATAATTTTTTCATATTTACCATTATCAAAATTGTTGTCAAATGACGTACAAACAGCTACCTTTTATAGGACATCCTAGTGAAGGGAGTACTTGTCAAAATGAGGGTAGTATAAGATTGTTTAATGCGAAATTAGGGTCCAATAGAATTTTTCTACAACTTGAGGTAAGTGTTGTTCTTTATATTTTTATGCGTTCTATGATGCTTGCATATTTCCTTACAATTGTTATAGCACCTTCTAATGCTGCAAGAGGTGGTTTATTATCTTCTTGCTTCTTTTTTCATGTCAAACTTTTCTTCTTCTTTTTTTTTTTATTTTTTTTTTATTTGTTTTGTTTGTAATCTTGTTAAGAAATTCACTCTCATACAGGGCAAAGCCAGAAATATAAAGTTAGGGGGCCAAATTACTAGTATAAAATTGAATTTTTTTTTTTTTTTTTTTTTTTTTTTTATTTTAAATTTGAATTTGTAACAAATTTTTTTTAGTGCATTTTAGACTTTTTTTTTTTTTTTTTTCGGTTAACATGTCTATAAATAATATGTAAAAAAAAATGGAGAGAAGAACATATGATGATAAATGAGGTTGTCAAATTAAAATATTTTTTTCCATTTTGAATTCATAACAAACAATATATGTGTGTGTTTGTGTGTGTGTATAGTGTGCGCGTGTGTATATGCATAGAGTACTATATAATAATAAAACTGAATATTGTATGAAGGATATGAATAAGACACTCATATGCTATATCAAGATTGTAATAATAACCTTTCAAAAAAAAAAAAAAAAAAAAGATTTGTTAAACTTTGAAGAACACAAGCAATTTCTTTTGCAAACCATCTTTAATAACTATAAATAAGTAACAAAAATAAGTATTTTTTGAAAATTTGGGATGCCAATTTTAATTTTTCTATAGTAAATTACCATTAATAATTATAAATATAAGTTACAGAAAATTTTGAGTGGGCCAATTTAAATTTTTCTACCTCTGCCCCTGCTCTCATATGACCTCTACGAGAAGTTCAACCTCGACATACTTTGAAAAGTGAGAAAATATCATGAGATTAAAGTCTTTCGTAATTTTATTGTAACGAATTTAATTTTTGTGTCAAAACTTGCCGATCAAGGTGTAATTTTATTTACCGAGTCTTTATCACAAAGTTGAAAAACTAGTGCAAGGATACTGCCATACAATACACACCAATCAACTTCACCTAACACCTAAACACCTTTTGATATTCGAGAGGAAAAAGTAAAAAAATAATAAATAAAAAAATTCACCTAAATCGCGTCAAAAGAAACACTAAGCTTGCCAAGACACATGACTTATTTTTTCAATCTTCTTTATCATAAGCCATTTCTCCGATTAGATTCAATTCTTTAAAATTATTTCCTTGTCATCCACCTTTTTATCAATTATTTTATATTATATATTTGTGAAAAAGAAGGGTTGAACTAAAAAATAAGGGAAATTAAAATATATACATATGTGCATATATAATTTTTTTTGGTTTTACTTACAAATTCTAAATTCCTATTTAGGGATACTATGGCACTCCAGAAAATTAAATTGTTTGTTCTCAACATTACCAAATGAAATAAAATTCTCAATTTGCAATTCACACTTGAAAATAATTTTATTTAAAAAGGTTCACACTCAAAATTGAGCTTTTAAAAATTCCAGTTTATCAAATTGCAATTTAAAAACTCTCAAATCTTATTATAATCAAGATTTAGGTAGGGTAAGCGCCACCCTACTTTCAAATGATGAAAGATTTCAATTCAAGGAGAAAGATTTCAATTCAAGGAGGGTGCAGTGTAAATTAAAAGAATAAAAATTCAACTAACATGACAAATGTAGATTGTTTAAATAAAGGGATCAAAAAAAAAAAAAAAAAAACTACATATGTGTCTTTTTTTATATACATAAGTGCAAAAAGAAGAATTTAATCTTTTTATAAAGGAATTAAAAGAATTTAAAAAGTAAAAGGAGAAGTTAAGAAATAATTTTAAAAATTAAAAGGGGGCATGATAAAGAATTCCCCACCCAAGGCCTACATTGGCTCGACCCATGGGAGTAATACAAGTGGCTTGTGAGCAATATATTTTAAAAATAAATAAATAAAATAAAATAAAATATTAAAACTTGTCGACCCTTATTTTCGCTGATAAGATTGTCTTCTTCCAAGCATTTTCTTAAATAAAAAAAGTAAAAAGAAATCTAAAAAAAAAGACTCCGTAAATAAAAATCCACCACCCATGTCTCGCAATCCAAGGATCTCTCCATCGGTGAAGTCCCATTTCTATTGTTCTCCCCTTTCTTGGAGCTTCTAAAGCATACTGGAAGACACAATTTTCTCTCTATAGGATCGATCTTTAATTTTCCCTAATTTTATATGATGTTTAAAAGATGATGAGTTTCATTCAGACATATCATCATGAATTCTTTGTATCCATCAATCATGGTGAGATCTGAAATTTTACATTTGACCGCATCATAATAGAAATCTCAATACAGTAGTGACTAGGCACCTCATAAATCTTTCGAGCCACATTTGTTGTTTGAAGAAATATTGATTCTCTTGGTGGAACAAAAGAGGAAACACTATGTTTATTAACGGTTCAAAAGCATAACATCCACCAACAACAAAAATATTATTGAGCACGCCTCGTCTTTTCTAGAACTGAGGTAAAGATTTTGTTTAATTTTCGATTAATTTTTGTTTTTATGTATTTTAAGTCTCGACAAATTCGATTTATAAGTGATTCAGATCCCAATTTTCATTCTGATTGGGTATGATTTGTGTTTAGAACAAGTATTCTTACAACTTTGATCGGACTTTATATTTTAAACATTTGTGAAAACAAAGTAACATTTGCACAATCAATAAAATTTCTCAGTTTTATATATATATAGATATATATAGTCCGGTCCAGTTACTCGTATGCAGGGAGTAATATACGCGACTTCTCGTTCCTTTCTTTTGAATGTCCTGCCAAATTTTTTTTATTATGTTATAATAAATTTGATATTATTCTATTTAATCATATGGATTATAATTGTGTATTAAAATAATGCTTTTATGATGGTTTTATGTATTAGAAGTGAATTCTTTTGACAGTTTTTCCTTTTTTCTTCTTCATTTTTTCTGTTACCTCTTCTTGGCAATATTTGAAAAAATTTAAGAATTATTTTATACCATTAGTTGTGATTATAACTTCCAAATTTTTTTTGTCTTCTTTCTTTCATTTTTTTTTATAAAAAACCTCAACAATTGGAAAAACAAATTGATTACACAAGGATACGAACTAAAAAAAAATGTCTCCCATGTGAAAGCTATCCATAGTCATGGTATGTTGAGTCAGATACTAACCTCCACTAACAAAACTTACATTGTTTGAAGAGAAACTTTTTCACCAGAACATAAATATAGAGAAAAGATCTAGAAAAAAAAAAAAAAAAGTAAGTTTTCTGTCAAAAATTTTGTTCGAAGAGATTTTTTTTTTTTTTTTTTTTTTTTTCGGTAATAGAAGGACTCTATTATTTTAGTGGAAGTATTTATTTATGTTTTTCATTATTAATACCTCCTTATTATAATGTATTTTATTTTCTTTAAAACACTCAAATTAAGTGATTTTGGGGTCTTAAAAAAACATAAACAATTAAAAATAGTATATTGCTCCTTGCACACCATGGAACAATTGAACGGAAACTGTATATATATATATATATATATATATATATATATATATATATATATATATATATTTAATCGGATCGGATATAATCCATATATGATTTGTTAAGGTAATGGATTATTAAATTCGAATCATTATCGGATTTTTTTTCAATCTATATCCGGATAATCGGATTAAATTCGAATCGGATTCGAATCAAAATTCAATCTATTGACAGGTCTAGTTGGTAGTTTTAAAAAAATAATAATAATAAAAAATAGGAATAAAAATGGGTTGGTAGTTAAAAGAAAATTATTGGGTGATTTTGTAACGAGAATAATTTAGTGCATGATTATGTACTGTTTACTGCATTAGATGCTGATAGATTATATACCTTTGATCATCTTTCTAATTCCCAGTTTGGCATTATGAAGAAATCCACATAAACAAGGTAACATAATTCTGTAGCATTTTCTTAATATTTTTTTGTAACTAATTACAAAACATAACTAGGAACCTTTTGGTTAGATTTTTCCTAGTACTCATTGTTGTTCCTTATGTTTATGTTCCCGGACTCATCATATTAGATATGTTCGGAGAAACTGTTTTTAGGCTTGATAAAGATCATTTGTTTTTTTGTTTTGGTGTGGAACTGCAACTTTAGCATATATTGATATGACCCCATAACTACAATTACAAATGAGTAGCAGCAATTGGTAAAGAAGTATACAACTCTAGATAGTTCAAAGGTTTATAAATTTCCCTACATTAATCTCTCGGCTTCTCCTTGACTACCTCACAATGAAATTTTCTTGTAAAGTGGTCTTCCACATAATTGTTAACGAAGCCATAAACTGCAGGCATATATACACCAGAAAATTACTTAGGTAGCCTTAAAAATGAGTTCAAGGAGGACAACTCCTTTTCTGGTCCATACAAAAGCCCTGGATTAATTCTTGATTGTCTCCTAATTTTTTTTTTTTTTTTTTTTTTTTTTTTTTTTTTTTTTCATCCTGTTGAGCTTTTCTGTTATAAATATAAGTAAAAAACAATTTTATGATTGTTCATCATTTGGTTTTATTACAGGAGACATTTAATCCCAATCTGATTAAAATTTGTTAGGCAGGGTTTTTGGCAAATTGTTTAATTGCATCCGCAAATTACAAAAGGTTTGATTCAGAGCCTACATATATTCGTGTGTATGCACAAAGAAAGACAGATAAATGTGAAGCAAAATCAACAATCATCAATGTCAGAAGATATGATAATTGAGATTCTTTTGAGCCTTCCAGTGAAATCACTTCTGCGATATAATTGTGTCTGCAAATATTGGTACACTCTCATTAGAAGTTCTACGTTCATTAATAAGCACCTCCACCATCATAGCAACAAGTCTCGACTCCTTGTTCAACATTACATTGACAGCACTGAAACAAATGCAATTGCCTTGTACCCAGATGAAACGCTTTCTAATTTTCCCCTCATATATCGTGATATTCAGATGCCCTGTGAATCACGTGATATTGTAGTTCACTATGATGGCATACTTGGTCTTTGGGAATGGGATGATGGCATAGTTCTATGGAATCCTGCTACAAGAGAATTCAGACGCCTCACTATGCCAAACCCCAACATTCCATCCAATTTTAGCGCCGATCAGCATAAATTTGGATTTGGGTTAGATCCCACAACCAATGAATACAAGCTGGTTTTGATTCGAACGTATTATTATTCTGAAGGACATTACCCATATGATTCCGCAATTATTGTAGTATATTACATATCTACTAATTCGTGGAGACTTTTTGAAGCTGATTTGAGTCGAGTTGCTTACGTGCATGATTCTATATATAGCACATGCTTGAGCGGACTATATTATTGGCTGACTAGTGAGCTTGGTTGGCATCAGACACACTATTACAATGCGATCCTTACATTTGATTTGAGTACTGAAGTTTTTGGAGATATACCAGGACCTCAAGATATTCCCAAATCAAAGTTGGGGATTCTCATTATACACAATGATTCTATTTCTGTGTTATGTTTTGATCCTCGTGAGGTTCACAAATACTTTGACATATGGGTGATGAAGCAGGAGGGGTGTTGGACCAAAGAATTAACTATCGGGACCCTTGTAGATGTTGAAAGGGCACTTGGGTTTTGGAAAAATGGTGAGCTTTTCATAGAAACCAGCACTTCAGACTTAATTTTATACAACCCTAATATCCAAGAGACTAAAGATTTTCAAAATCGTGGACTGTACAAGATGGAACGCCTTAGGATTTTTATTTACAAGGAGAGTCTCGTTTCAATTAATGGAGGAAATGAAAGCTGGGAAAGGAGATAATGTGTAAAAATGGCTCTGGTTCAAGATTTTTTCACCTTACATCCTCCCGTTATATTGGCTTTATGTTTTCTTTTTCTATTGTTTATTAAGTTCGGTTCGTGCATGTCTTCGTTGGAGCAACAAAGAGTAAAAGGGGAAAGGAAGGAAAGGTAAATTTATGAGTCATTGATACTGAATATTTTTTTTTTCTAATCTTGGTGTGGTCTAGTAATTGTTTTTATGTTGTCTAATCGGTTCAATGTGTCCCTCCTCAGAATATATCCTTTATTTTTTAGGTTTTTTTTACCAAGTATAATAGCATACATTGGAGGTTACGATCCTTTATTCTCTAGCTTGTCCTCCCCACCTTCATTGTTATTGTTATTTTATTATTATTATTATTATTTTTTTATCTAAGGATAACAAAATATCCCGTCCGGTCTGGTACCAACCCCACCCCACCATGGGGGTGGTTAAATAATTTTGGGGTGGGAATAGAGGTATTTTTTATTTTTTATCTAAGGATAACAAAATACCCCGCCCCGTCCGGTATCAACCCCACCCCATCATGGGGGTGGTTAAATGATTTTGGGATGGGAATAAAGGTTAGGGTTGAAAACTTGCATGATATAATATTGTATATACAAATTCAAAATGTTATACAATTTGGAAACCTAAACATGAGAACTGTTAAAACGTTGTAACGTGATATCTGGAAATTGCGTTACAACGTGATATCGGGAAATTATTGTAACATAATATCTGGAACGTATCTGGGAACTGTTGTAATGTAATACTCCTTTTGGAGTGTGATATGACGAACATCCATCTTGAAGAATGGATTGGAGCAGTGTTTTTCCCAAAGGCTTAGTAAACAAATCAATAAGAACGCGTGGAAACAAATAATGTTTTGATGGTGCCATCTTTGATTCTATCACGAACAAAATGACAATCGATTTCAAGATACTGAAGGCACAATGGAAGCATTTAAAAAAATTTAGGAGCGTAACCACGTGATTTTTCATCAAATCAAGAACTATTGTAAAAAGATCTCATACTTTTGGCTATTGAATAATCGTCGTATACGGAAACAATATTCACTTTCTTCTTTCGCTTTGAAAACTAAAGAGTCTTCATCTCTATGATCCCAATGGTAAGTTTGTGGAACCCTAACCTTCTCTCTCACTCTCTGTATATTGTATCGTGTAACAGAATAATAATTGTATCATAGCGTTACCGAATATATGACTTGAGAGAGTCGGTTAAAAGTCTAGGGCTGGAGATGAGGATTCAAGAGGGCTTCCTTATCCTAGCTCCAATTGGACAGAGATAGATAAGTCTATCATATCCAATTAATTACAATAAGCACCACAATAATATTGTAATTGCACTCTAGGATTTAGAAATTACGACAAGGCTCTACCTACTAAACAATTACATATAACCCCCTCCACTACCAAATATCCATAAGTAGCCCTAGGATAATATATACTGTCCCACCTAAAGCTTACTTATATTTTATATTCCTTGAGTAACTAATTTAATCCTTATGATCACTGAATTAAATTATTTTATAAAAAGGAATTTTCCAAAATAAATATTTTTCTAAATAAATAATAGAAAAATAATTTAGTAAATATTTTACTAAAATGCCCTGGCCAGGTTCCATTGATCAAACTTATTAAATTGCATCAAGGGGATATTCTAAGTCTTATAAAGAGTGTGGATTCCATGTTGAGCATTTGTGTTCCCAGAGCTCCAACATTAGCCACCCAAGATACCGTGGTATTGACCTTAAAAAAGATCTCACACATTGGTAAGTCAAAGTGACTAGTACTGAAACTTGAGTTCATTAAATCTCTCAGGATTTAGAGCCTATGAATTTAGTAGATAAGAAACACACCAGAATAATGACAGTACATTGTATGGTGTGATCTTATGGTGATCCAGTTCAATGTACTCCAAGCACACTAACAAACTACCTCAGAGTCAACTACCCAATGGTCGAGACAAACCATCCTATCTTATAGAGGTCAAGTGTGTTACAGTCTTACAGATAAAAGTGCCCAACTTTTATCACTGACTGCAAACAATGCTAAGGTGTAAGAAACCGGTGAACCCAAATCTCCTGCATGTAAATCTCATTTACACACTTAAGTCACCTATAATGCAACTTGAGGACTATAATGCATCTCATACAAATATATGTAAAGCCCAATGCATGAATATCATATTTATTAATAAAATATCGAATAAATAATAAATAATTGGCTTGTAGGGCATATTTTCCAAACAATCTCCCACTTGTACTCAAAACCAATTACCATTACATCTAACACCCATCCCTTCAATATGAGACTTAAAAACCCCAGTAGGTAGAGTCTTAGTGAAAGGATCTGTAAGGTTATTTGCAAATGCAATCTTAGTGACAACAATATCCCCATGCTGAACTATTTCTTTAAAACATCACCACACTTCCATCACTCTTCTTGTATACACAAGGCCCATTCAAATTCTAATCATGTTCAAATGATTTAACCACGATCAAAACTAATGTTCCAAGTCACAATCATTTGTAACCTTTTCATAAGTATAGAGGGATCTTGCTCTTCTGGGATTACCTCGTCAGACTTTCCCAAGAGCGTTAACCTATCAGATAGCCTGATAACCCTCCCACTACGTTAAGGTTCCGATATAATAAGAGATTCTGGACTCGTAGTTTCTGATGTCTCATTATCCATAACTGTCATATCCACTCTTGGATTAATTGGTGTATTTATTATATCCTCTAAAACAACCATACTTCGAGGATGGTGATTCATTATATAATCCTCCTCGAGAAAAGTAGCATTCGTGCTAGTGAACACTTTTTTCTCCTTAGGATCATAAAATGAATAACCTTTTGTACCATTTGGGTAGCCCACAAATAGACAAACATCTAATCTCGATCCCATTTTCTCAAGCTTTCCTTTCCACACAAGTGCAAGAAACTCCCACTTACATTAATTTTGTAAACTAGGCTTACACCTGGTATACAATTCATTGGGAGTGTATAAAACTACTTTAGATAAAACCTCAAAAGAATACCGGTAGACTTAAATAACTAATCATCAATCTTACCATGTCAAGTAAGGTTTTATTCCTTCTTTCAACGACACCATTTTGTTGCGGTGTGCCTGGTGCAGATGTTTGTGATATAATCCCATTTTCTAATAAATGATCCTTAAATCCACTAGAGAGGTATTCCCCTCCTCGATCTGATCAAAGAGTTTGTAGGCTTTTATCCGTCTGCCTTTCACTTTCTGCCTGAAAGTCTTTGAATTTATCAAAAGCCTCAGACTTACGATGCATAAGGTAAACATAGCCATACCTAGAGTAGTCATCTGTGAAAGTGATAAAATACTCATATTCTCCTCTAGCCCTGATATTCATAGGACCACATACTTCTGTATGTACCAACTTTAGTACCTCTTTAGCTCTATGCCACTTGGCCGTAAATGGCCTTTTGGTCATTTTACCCTTTAAGCAGGATTCGCAAACTGGAAATGGTTCAACCACTAAAAAGCCCAAAGGCCTATCCTTAACCAGTCTTCGGATCCTATTTAAATTAATATGACCTAACCGTAAATGCCAAAGATATGTAGAATTATTTGAAGGAATCTTCATTTTTTGTGGTAAGACACTCGATGTATCAATTATTTCAATATTATACAAGTAGTGGGGTGTAGGAGTTATTAGATATAGACCGTCCACCAATGTTCCAAAGCAGATAAACTTTCCATTTTTCTTTATCAAAGCTTTTGAATCAAATAGTACTGAAAAATCAAATTTTCAAAGAGTTTTTCTTCTGTTTTCTGATATATAAAGACAATCTTCTAATCATAAAATCCTACCATTTATTTTTAAAATAACCACTCCTACTAATACTGCTGCTACCCTTGCTTGCGAAGTAAGTTGAAGATAAATCTCCCCATCATTCAGCTTTCTGGTTTCCTGCAACCCTTGCAATGAATTGCAAACATAGTTAGCGGCTCTAGAATCTACACACCAGGTATTTGTAGATCCTACCACATAACATGTCTCAGCAACAAGTGAATGAAAAATATCTTCAGAGTGCTTCTTAGCAAGATATACCAAGTAATTCATTTTCTTGTGTCCCTCATTACCACAATGGAAACAATTCCCTTTGGACTTATCCTGCTTATTGTCTTTAACCTTGACAAACCCAGCACTAGAATCAATTTCTTTGTGCTCTTGGATGTCATTAGGGCTAAGCTCAGGAGGGCACTCTTGAGTGAGCATAATGTGAAGATTTTTCTTCCAGCTAACATAGTTCAACTTGGTTAATTTGTTATCCTTAAGTATGGAACCAAGCGGATTGAAAATATTCGATATCTGAAATATAAACATTCATGCATAAATAAAAGGGCATATATTCAGAAACAATGATTAAACTTTAGTTTTCATATAGTCTCTTAGTGGGTCTTTTTAAACCACTGATGTAATGAAAACATCGGTAATCATAATCCATGTAGGTATTCACTCGTTTCTCTCAAGGGGCAATAAGAACATGCCACTACCAAGAGATCATGTCACTACCTTGATTAGACGGAAACAATTTCCACCATATCCCACTATCTAGGTATCTTATACCAAATGAAATATGGCAACCGATTTATCTTTAGCCTCTAAGTGAAAATACCCCCTAAGGTGGAGCGTACTCCCACTTAGTCAAGTGTATACCATTGTCTAGAAGTAGTGCAATTGAATGAGATTCGTCTCCTAATGGTGATCATCCCCATCCGCTTGCCGCTAGTTCCTGCCGCTAGTTCTAACGAGTGAAACAAATACCCTCCGGAGGAGCACCCAAGATTGGTGGCGAGGTACTTGTTCCACCTTATAATAAATCGACAATGGAAGACTGTGAAATTTAAGATTAAATCCCGCTCCTACTTAACTTTTGAAATTAGAGAGTTTTAAATTCTATACATCCTATGCATAATATCACAATATTAATTTTA